GTGACAAGAACTGAATATAGAATTCAAATAAGGGTATTTCATTGTTTTATCTAAATGACATTATATTCAACATAATATTGCATTTTCCAGGCTTGAATTTAGAAGGATGTATGCATGCCCACAATCCCAATAACCAGAACCCCAAGCTCACAATAACCAGAACCCCAAGATGCCAGCCCAATCAGACTACTTAGGCCAGACCCTATTGATAGATCAAGCTGCCAAAGTATAGGCAACCTCCTTCAGCTGTTTCACATGCCACCTAAAAGTACCTCTTTCTTATCTGAGTTCACTTTTAATCAACTTTATTTTATCCATTCTGCAATCTTCTTTTGGCAGTGGGCTAGCAGTTAGGTAAAACAACTGCTATGAGCTGATTCGCTAGTAATATAGATATGGATATGATGGGCCAGATTCTGTCCTTACTTTGACTCTTTTACACCACCCCAGCAGCAAATAGTGAATGAAAATGAGCAGCATGGCCCGTGAGTGAATTCAAAGTGGCAGCATATGCCCATAAGTAATGGTAGGAGGGAAAACAGCACAATGAAGTTAACGGATTTCAAGAAGGCAGACTTTAGCAAACTCAGGGAGCTGGCAGGTAAGATCCCATGGGAAGCAAGTTTAAGGGGAAGAAAAGTTCAAAAGAGTTGCCAGTTTTTCAAAGGGACATTATTAAGGGCACAAGAGCAAACTATCCCGTTGCGTAGGAAAGATAGGAAGTATGGCAAGAGACCACCCTGGCTTAACCAGGAGATCTCCAATGTTCTGAAACTCAAAAAGCCCTACAAAAAGTGGAAACTAGGTCAAATTACAATGGATGAATATAAACAAATAACACAATTATGTAGAGACAAAATTAGAATGGCCAAGGCACAACATGAGATTAAACTAGTTAGAGACATAAAGGGTAACAAGAAAACATTCTACAAATACATTAGAAGCAAGAGGAAGACCAAGGACAAGGTAGGCCAGTTACTCAATGGGGGGAGGGAGGAGGGAGAATAACAGAAAATGTGGAAATGGTAGAAGTGCTAAATGACTTTTGTTTCAGTTTTCACCAAAAAGTTTAGGAGCAATTGGACATCTAACTTAATGAATGCCAGAGAAAATGAGGTAGGATCAGAGGCTAAAATAGGGAAAGAACAGGTTAAAAATTACTTAGACACGTTAGATGTCTTCAAGTAACCAGGGCCTAAGGAAATACATCCTAGAATACTCAAGGAGCTGACTGAGGAGATATCTGAGCCAGTAGCAATTATCTTTGAAAAGTCATGGAAGACAGGAGAGATTCCAAAGAACTAGAAAAGGGCAAATATAGTGCCAATCTATAAAAAGGGGAATAAGAACAACCTGGGAATTAAAGACCAATCAGCTTAATTTCAGTACCCGGAAACGGAGCAAATAATTAAGCAATCAATTTGCAAACACCTAGAAGATAAGAAGGTGATAAGTAACAGTCAGCATGGATTTGTCAAGAACAATTCATGTCAAACCAACCTAATAGCTTTCTTTGACAGGGTAACAAGCCTTGTGGAAGGTCGGAAGCAGTAGATGTGCTATATCTTGACTTTAGTAAGGCTTTTGATAATAAGGCCTTCTCATAAACAAACTAGGGAAATTCACCCTAGATGTAGCTACTATAAGGTGGGTGCATAACTGGCTGGAAAACCATTCCCAAAGAGTAGTCATCAGTGGTTCACAATCACGTTGGAAGGGCATATCAAGGGGGTCCCACAGGGATCAGTTCTGGGTCTGTTTTTTTCAATATCTTCATCAATGTTTTAAATAATGGCACAGAGAGTACACTGTGACAAAGTTCCTCCTCTATCTTGGTGGGTCCTGCGCTTATTGGCGGATTTTCTTGCCTCAGAGATTCACCATGTGGGTTGGGGAACAGCCAGAGACCTTCCCCTCTGGGAGAACCCACAGTCCAGGTCAATTGGGAGGTTTGGGGGGAACCCGGGCCCGCCCTCTACTCCGGGTTCCAGCCCAGGGCCCTGTGGACTGCAGCTGTCTATAGTGCCTCCTGTAACAGCTGCATGACAGCTACAACTCCCTGGGCTACTTCCCCATGGCCTCCTCCAAACATCTTCCTTATTCTCACCACAGGACCTTCCTCCTGGTGTCTGATAACGCTTGTGCTCCTCAGTCCTCCAGCAGCACACCCTCTCACTCTCAGCTCCTTGCGCCTCTTGCTCCCAGCTCCTCACACTCGCACCACAAACTGAAGTGAGCTCCTCTTAAAACCCAGGTGCCCTGATTAGCCTGCCTTAATTGATTCTAGCAGCTTCTTCTTAATTGGCTCCAAGTGTCCTAATTAGCCTGCCTGCCTGAACTGGTTCTAGCAGGTTCCTGATTACTCTAGTGCAGCCCCTGCTCTGGTCACTCAGGGAACAGAAAACTATTCATCCAGTGACCAGTATATTTGCCCTCTACCAGACTCCTGTACCCCACTGGTCTGGGTCTGTCACATATCCTTCCCCCCTGCTCAACGCCAAGGGGTTGGGCAGCTTGGGACGCCAGACAGTGCACACGTGACAAGCCATTGGCGTTGCCATGACGGCTCCCTGCTCTGTGTTGCACACAGAACTGGAAAGGTTGGAGGGATAAGAACCATCTGGTCACCCTTGTGTTCTTCTCCTTGTTCCGCTGCATCCATTGAAGAGGGGCATGGTCGGTCACGAGGACAAATCTGCGCCCGAGCAGGTAGTAGCGCAATGTTTCCATGGCCCATTTTACAGCGAGGCATTCTCTCTCCACCACTGCATATTTTTGTTCCCTTGGAAGGAGTTTCCGACTGAGGTATAGAATTGGGTTTTCCTCCTCCCCGACCATCTGTGATAGAACGGCCCCCAACCCTACTTCCGATGCATCCATCTGCAGGATAAACTCCTTAGTGAAATCAGGGGCTATCAGTACGGGGTTATTGCAGAGGGCAGTCCGTAGGTCTGTGAATGCTTCCTCTGCTGCGTCAGACCATCTCACCAGATCAGGTCCACGGGCTTTCACTAGGTCTGTCAGGGGGCTTGCCCTTGTGGCAAAGTGGGGGATAAATCGTCGGTAATACCCCACCACACCTAGGAACGCCTGGACTTGTTTCTTGCGAGTTGGTCGGGGCCAATTTTGGATGGCCTCTAACTTGTTCACTTGGGGTTTTACCAGACCTTGTCCCACAATGTAGCCAAGATATTTGGCCTCTGTAAACCCTACAGCGCACTTGGCAGGGTTTGCTGTAAGGCCAGCTTGCCTGAAGGTATCGAGGACTGCCTCCACCTTCTCCAGGTGGGTTTCCCAGTCTGGGGTATGAATGACCACATCGTCCAAGTAGGCAGCAGCATAACTGTTATGCGGGTGTAATAGCTTGTCCATGAGGCGCTGGAAAGTAGCTGGGGCCCCATGTAGTCCAAAAGGGAAGACAGTATATTGAAAAAGACCCTCTGGTGTAGAGAACGCAGTCTTTTCCTTTGCGTCTTCTGCAAGGGGAATCTGCCAGTACCCCTTTGTCAAGTCTAGGGTAGTCAAGTACTGGGCATTACCCAGACGGTCCTTCGTTTAGTCGCCGGAAGTCGTTGCAAAATCTTGTGGTGCCATCAGGTTTGGGCACCAGCACGATTGGGCTGGACCACTGACTGTGGGATTCTTCGATGATCCCCAACGCCAGCATTTTTTTTACTTCTGCTTTTATTTCCTCCCTTTTTGCCGCTGGCCCCCGATAGGGCCTCATTGTTACTCTGGCCCCAGGGTTCGTGACGACGTGGTGATATGTCTCGGTTGTTCGACATGGTTTTGTCGAGAACACATCTTGGTTCCGGAAGATCATCTCAGACACCTCATTCTTCTGGTCTGGTGTTAAATCGGGAGACACTCTCACCTGTTTGGAAGGCTTGTTTTCCTGGGTTAGGTCTTTTTGGACCATTGTGCATGCCTCTTGTGCATGCCAGGGTTTCAGAAGGTTAACGTGATAAATCTGTTCTTGTTTTCTGCGTCCTGGCTGCCGCACCTTGTAGATTACTTCCCCCACGGGTTCAACCACCTCATAGGGCCCCAGCCATTGGGCCAGAAGCTTGCTTTCTGCCGTGGGTACCAACACCATAACCCGATCCCCTGGTTGGAACTGTCGCACTTTTGCTTGGTGATTGTAATGGGTTCGCTGGGCCTCCTGTGCCTTCTCCAAATGTTCCCGTACAATAGGGGTAACCCGGGCTATCCGGTCTCGCACCTGCATTACATGCTCTATTATATTTCTCCCCTCCTTAGGTTCCTCTTCCCAGATCTCTTTGGCGATAGCTAGTATGCCACGGGGGTGACGCCCGTATAATAACTCGAAGGGGGAAAACCCAGTTGAGGCCTGTGGTACCTCCCGGATAGCGAACATAAGGTAGGGTAGTAGGGTGTCCCAATCCTTCCCATCCTGACTTACCACCTTCCTTATCATAGCCTTGAGGGTTCGGTTAAACCTTTCTACCAACCCATCAGTCTGTGGATGGTAAACCGAAGTTCTCAGGGTATGTATATGGAGCAGCGTACAGAGGTCCTTCATTAGCTTTGACATAAATGGAATTCCTTGGTCGGTTAATATCTCCTTCGGTAGCCCCATTCGGGCAAAGATAGCCCCCGAGCACCACCGGCCCCGGCCCGGCCCCCGGCCGAGCACCGCCGGCCCCGGCCCGACCCCCGGCCCCGGCGGCCCCTCCCTATTTTCCCGGACATGTCCGGCTTTTTGGGATTTCCTCCCGGACGAGGATTTGAGGCCCAAAAAGCCGGACATGTCCCGGAAAATCCGGACGTATGGTAACCCTATAGTAAGCAAGGCTTTGGGGTTTTCGTTCACCCTGGGGCCAGCCCTCGTCTCTATGGTAACAGGAAGGAGGGAGAGGAAACAGGGAACTTTCACTCTTCGATCACCTGATCTGGCTCAACGGTCACGTGATCCCGTCTCCATCATCGCCATTTTGAAGCAGTGTTCCCAGGGAGGGGGGGAAAAAAAAGCCTTAAGCGACGCCGGTCCGAGAGAAGCGAGGCGACGTGGCGGGGAGCGGCCTGTCCCGCGGAGGACCCGGCAGGTACCGTGTGAGCAAAGCGGCGCGGGAGGGAAAGAGGCGGCGGCAGCAGAGCGCCAGGAAGCGGAGCCCATGTGCATATCCTGGAACACCCTCCCGCCCCCCTCAGACTTTGGGCTCCCCCGCTATCACCTCCTGCGGCACGTCGCAGGCCCCTCCGTCTCCGGGGCCAGGGCCGGCGGTGCTCGGCCGGGGGCGCTCTTCCCCAAGCGCCCCCGCGGTGTAACTGGGGTCATCACCGCCCCCCTCAGCCTCCGCCTGCTGCCCCTGGGGGGTCTTGGTGCCCGCGCCCCGTATTGGGGTCTGAATTCACGCCCTTGCTTCCTACGTAACGTCCAGCACCCTCCTTGCCCCTTCCCCTTAGCATAACCTAGGGTTCACACACCTCAGGCAGCCTGTACGGTGTTTGCTGCCCTGGGCGGCTTCTTGTGCCTCTTCTCTCCCTATCCCGGAGATGGGTTTGCAGCATGAATGACTGGGGTGGTGGTGACTAAACTGGACAGGCGGTTGCACGAGGTTTAACTGTAGGAGAGGAAGGTTGATGAGCTAAATGAGAAAGTTTGCAAGAGTCCCTGGCGGAGTAGATATAGCCTCCCCTCACCCCCACGTTACCATCTCCTTCCACCATGATAGGGGTTTGGGGGAAAAACAAGCCTTGGGTTGTTCCAGCAGCCCCTTCGGGGGAGGAGAGAGCAACCAGATGCTGAAACCAAAGTGCAGTTGAGGCAATAATCTTAGTGTACCAAATCTGATTAATCTTAGTTCCAGTGAGTGATTTTGAAATGCAGGAGTAAGAAAACCAAACGGGTGCTTGACTCCAGCCCCCCTCCCCTTTGGAGAGGGAGTGATTTGAGAAGCCTGTCATGTAGGGTTACCATATTTCAGATTCCCCAAAAGAGGACAAAAAGGGGTGGGGAGAGCTGGAGAGGGTACCTGTGGCAGGGGTACTCATTGGAGGTGGGGGATAGTGTTGCTCCCTGTCAGGATGGATGGGCAGCTGGTACAAGCTTAGGAAGCAGCAACAGCCATCAGTCAGCATCTCCCAGGGGGCCCCCCTCCCCAGGGCTGGGGGCTGAGTGGGTAGGAGCTGGCAGCTGTTGTTGTAGAGGAATGGACCAGTCAGCTGCCAGTGTAGGGGTAGGACCAATTGGGAAGTGGACCAATCAGGGGTCTTTTTAAGCTACAGCCTCTACTCTGCAAAAATCCAGGACATTTCCTGTTATTTGAAAAATCCATGCAGACAGAGGATGGAATCTCAAAAAAGAGGTAATGTCCAGGAAAACCTGGATGTATGGTAACTCTGTGAGATCTAACTTTTCACAACTGTTGGGTTGATATCCGTCTCAAGGCTTTTGCTATGTCAATAGCTTTGGTTTCTGAAAATTAAATAATAAAATCAATAGTTGGTAAAAGTGAAATTCTGATGATAAAGTTTTCCTACTCATGGGATTTGTAAAGGCTGTTGTGATGGCTTTTGCTTTACATTATTGTGTAAAGAAATAGTTGGCCTTTCCTAGACCTAACTTTCATTTCAAATGCCCTTAACTTAGTCACGCCTTTTGAAATATGCACTTCACTCACGTACATTTCGCTACTTCAGTCTGGAGAAATTTCCCATAGGTCCAAATCCTGCAAATAGGTAGTAATTAACTTGCCTTTAACTGGACTACATGCAGAGTATGGATCCACACTAATAGATCTGATTACAAGATTGGGGCCTTCTCTTTTGTCTAAGTGTTACTGATGCAGTAATTAAAGTTTGAACTTTTTTTGCTGTTTTTAGGGGGGGGAAATGGTCTCTTCAATATCACTCCACTGCAAAACAGAATCTAGAATAAAACATTTTCTTTCTAGGCTCAGCTTGTAAATATAAAAAAAGAGGAGTCCTTGTAGCACCTTAGAGACTAACAAATGTATTTGAGCATAAGCTTTCGTGGGCTAGAACCCACTTCATCAGATGTATGAAGTAAAAGATACAGGAGCAGGTATAAATACATGAAAGGATGTGGGGTGCTTTACCAAGTGTTAAGTTAGTCTAACGAGATAAATCAATTAACAGCAGGATACCAAGGGAGGAGAAATAACTTTTGAAGTGGTAAGAGAGTGGCTCATTACAGACAGTTGACAAGAAGGCATGAGTAACAGTAGGGAGAAATTAGTATTGGGGAAATTAAGTTTAGGTTTTGTAATGACCCAACCACTCCCAGTCTTTATTCAGGCCTTTATCTGTTAAATGATTTATCTCGTTAGACTGACTTAACACTTGGTAAAACACCCCACATCCTTTCATGTATTTGCTCCTGTATCTTTTACTTCATACAGCTGATGAAGTGGGTTCTAGCCCATGAAAGCTTATGCCCAAATACATTTGTTAGTCTCTAAGGTACCACAAGGACTCCTCGTGTTTTTTTGTTTGTTTGCTTGTTTGGTTTTTTTGCTGATACAGACTAAGATGGCTACCACTGAAACTTGTAAATATAGTAAGCAATAGTAACTTTAGCTGTCCAAAGATGTAGAACAGGGATCGGCAACCTTTGGCACGCGGCTCGCCAGGGTAAGCACCCTGGTGGGCCGGGCTGGTTTGTTTACCTGCCGCGTCCGCAGGTTCAGCCGATTGCGGCTCCCAATGGCCACGGTTCACCACTCCAGGCCAACGGGGGCTGCGGGAAGCGGCGCGGGCCAAGGGATCACTATAATAGATCACTATAATAACTGTAATTGAAAAAGATTAGAGAAAAATATCATCTTTCAGTTTGACAGCGTGATGTTGTGTAAAATAATCATTTCTCCTGTATGGAACTTTCCCTTTCTTTTTCTGTGCTTCAGTCACATAAAAGTAGAAAAATATTTTCCTAATAGGAAATAAAACAAACAAACTGCAAACCCAGAAAAATTAGCTGGAGTACTTAAGGGAAGGCATAGTACTTAAAACTACTTTTAACTCACCCTTAGAAATTGACTGTTTTTCAAGTTGACATCATCCCTCAGAGTGTTTTTGAGTTCTGAAATAGATCTTGCACTATGCATAGATAGTATTTGCTTATTCTGCACTAATAGTTGTGGCACCTGTTAAGGTCAATGTGAGACAAACATCTAAGCATTATATTATGCTAAAAACACTGTTGAAATTGCTTTACTCAGATTATAAGTATTACTAAAAAAATCCAATGTACATTTTAAAGAATGGAAGACAAGCCATTGTATCAACTTTTATTCTCATATTATCACTACTATTGCAACTTGAAGTGAAGACACTTGTAATGGCAGCCATTTCTGTGATTTCCAAGCTTTGTGAAAAGGATGTATTTGTGCTTGTTGTAGTTATTCAACAAAACTAAATTCATTCTATGCCAACTGAACAATCAAAAATGAAAGTACAACATGCAAAGCATACTTATTCTGTTTCATGATGGAATAAATGACATTTTTTCAGTTTAACAGTAACTGTCTACAGATACATTATCACATTGATTTCTATTACCAAGAAGATACTGAATTTGAGTTACATAACCTGTCCACATGATGTTCTTTTGTCCTATATAAAAGTTTTCTAAGACGTCATAACTGTACTTTCAGCCTACATTTCCTGTTGCAGTCCTGCCACTTCAGTGGAGTTCTGCAAAGAATTTACATACATAGATCTGATGGAAGGCTCAAGCCCTTAAATTATTTTGTAATTACTAAGGCATCTAATGAGTCTGGGTTTTTAAGATAACTTTTGTATCTTTTAAAAATGAGTTATTTTGAATTAATTTAATTAAGCTTTATCCACTTAAGAGTGGTTTCATTACTTAAACATTTTTCAAATCTAATGTTGATAATAATACAGAAAAGATCATTCTGGTTTGTCTTAATAATTCACATTTTATGTGATACCCTGAATATTTACTTCATTGCCAGGTTCAATTACTTTATGTATGAATGGATGAAAGGAAGTAACACTGCAAATTTCCTTACCTTAATTATATTTGATATTGTGATCCTCCTGTAATATCTGACATGGCTTGAACTCTGCATATACGCTTCTAGTAAATAAGAACTTAAATCTTTATAGAACTTAAAGGTTTAGAAAATGCTACTATTTAAATAAAATGTCTTAAAGACAAAAATAGTCTTATTTTTGAAAGGGCGGTGTCTTAGAAAATTAGAAACTCTTCTCCACATCCTCTTGTGAGTCTCTCAACTTCAGCATTTTTACAATAGAAAAACCATAACTGCATTTTAAATAAACTAATCAGATGCCAATATAAACTGAAGGGAAAGTGTCTCTGCTCAGCATTTCTGTAGGGACTGGTGTTATGACCTATACCAGGGATTCTCAAACTGGGGGTCGGGACCCCTCAGGGGGTCGCGAGGTTATTACATGGGGGGCCGCGAGCTGTCAACCTCCACCCCAAACCCTGCTTTGCCTCCAGCATTTATAATGGTGTTAAATATATAAAAAGGTGTTTTTAATTTATAAGGGGGGGTCGCACTCAGACAATTGCTATGTGAAAGGGGTCACCAGTACAAAAGTTTGAGAGCCACTGACCTATACATTTGAAATACTTCAAGGAAAAGGTTTGTAGCTGTTGTCAGGGAGATAAATTTGTATTGCAAGTACCTGAATACAATAACAGTTTCTGGTTTGGGACAATCTGCTCTCTCTAATTTTTTTTCTTTAACTGCTCATCTGTATAACTGTATTCAAATAAAACTTGCTTACAAAAAAAAATACACAAAACAAAAAAACCAACCCCCAAACCCTACAAAGGTTCTGGTCCTGCAAACATTTACTCCATGCTTAACTTTAATCCTGGAAGTAGTCCCACTGAAATCATTTGAAAAAACTCCAAGCAGTGAAATTCACACTTATTTTAATTTATTTAATCAAATGGATTTATCTTCTATACTGACAGGAGGGCAAGAGGAAATTGAGTTGTGATAGTAGAATCCAAGATTTAGCATGGAGGAAACTTTTCATCTGAGTTAAATAATCCTCAAATTAATATATGTAAAGCCTTTTAAAGTAGAGAAGTACTACTACAAGCCTTAATAATCATAAATTGGCAGTAATGTGTAACTACCATTGACCGCAGTGCAGAGTACTGTATGTATTTCCCTTTTTGACAGTTCAAATAAAAATCAATATGTGCTCAGAAACATATAGCAAGGTAAGAAATATACATATGTCCACTACAGAATCTGAGGAAAAATATTGGAACAAAACTATAGTCTTGTTTTCAAAAAAGACCATACTCTCTAACTATGACTTTTTCTCAGAAAGATTCTTATAATGTAAGGTAAGGGAATGTGCAAGCGAACTGTAGCATTGGCTACAATAATGGTATTAAAAAAAATTGCAAAATGTGTTTTTGCCCCCAACACAGCGGAGAAGTGCTTGTGAAGGGAAGCTAGTTTCCCATGTGTTGGACAAAAATAATTTTTTTTTTTTATTTTATTTTACTAACCATTACTGTTGCCAATGCTAAGGTTGGCTTAATTTCCCTCTTAATGTATCACAGTGAACTGCAGCAAAAGGTTCAATTTCAAACCAATCTTACTTGAATTAATATTCTCAATTTACCATTATAGTGCTACTGCACTAGACTTTAATGATTCTTATCTGCATATCACTCATTGTCTTCCCCCCTTAATGTCAACTATCCACCCCTGGATATGTGAAGAGCCAGAGTGGTATTTTTCTCAATTTCCTGAGGAGTACCTACAGCAGAACTTTTGTGTACCTGGAATTACATCAGAAGAACTGGCATGAACAGACTATTGAGCTACTTGTCTCTTTCAGTTATATTGAAGCAATGTTTCTACACGCTACATGGGGATAGAAGCTGATTCTTTATTATAAAATCTTCACCTTTGTATTGTTCTGCTATATGATTAAAAAAAAGTTCTCTGGTTCATATTTGAGATCTGTAAATAGAATATTTAAGATTCAGTACACATAATTTGAAAATGCTTCTTTTTAATTCTAACAACTGTATCCTCTGCAAATAAGTTTCTACAGCCTCATATTAATTCAGCACAGGATGCAGTTTTTATTGTCTCTCATGAACAAAAAGCATCTTCTCCAGTTCTAAATACGAGCCCAATGTTGTGGTGCTGTGTGCTGTTCGTTCTGTTCTTAAACTAAAAAGCTCAATCCAATTTCTGCAATTGACTAAAAATACTATTTCTACATGAGTAACTTGTTTGACAAGTTCTAAGCCCCAAACAATTGGATACTTTTATTAAAAGACACTTCAACTGACTTGTAGTGTGGTCCTGCTCTAAGAAGTAGCTATGCAAAAATGTCACCATATTACCTGCTCCTTGTGTTTACTTAGAATCATGCCTACTGTCTTTAGTGAGAAAATTCAACTTATACTGTTTTTTTATTCCTATTAGAGCCAATCTTTTCCTCCTTTTACATCAGAGATGTGTATTGAGTGTAATTAATTGGAAGATACTGGAATTTCACAGGTGTAACTGAAGGTTTAATTTGGCCTAAAGAACTTTTATTACAGGAGAAAATAATGAGAATAAAAGAATCAGCTCCATATTAGGTGTAATATTATAAACATGATGCTGCATTAAATTCCCATTTTTGGTTTTTTTTCCCCAGTCAATAATCTCAAACCATGTTTGTGCTTAAATATGGCCACTTTTTTAACCTCTGACCACACCACATTATGGTCTGTGGTTTATGGTTAATGTTTTTTAAAGGAAGTAAAATGGGAAACAGTTATTGCCTTCAGTTTCCAGAACTATACAATTCTTACAACACAGAAAGTGATTGTTCAGAAATGCTCACTACCAGTAGAGCTTTACAGTTCAGCGAATATTGCCTTGCTATCTTAGAAAATTAGTCTTGTGCTGAGAAATATGCTTTTTTTACATTTGTACTATCTTAATGAATAAAGCCATAGCTAAATGATTAATGCAGGTAATGCTTAGTAACTAAAATTTCAGCATGAAATGGTTCTATATTCTGAAGTGTTTTGTTACAAACCTACATTCATTTCAGAAGACTTCGTCTGATCAGTAGAAATGGTACTTGATGCCCTTAGTATTTAAAGAGTAGGTCTTCATGCCAGATTGAAACTTGCTTTTTTAATTTAAATGTGCTGAATTCATTTAAAATCAGTATCTTTAGGTAGGGTTTCTAGTGTTCAGATGGTGGTGATCATGGTGGGGAAATAGACAATATCCACAACAATACAAGCCAACTTACCCGTGAAAATCATTAGCTCACTCTGCCACTCCAGACAGTAGTTGGAGGCATTCAGATGTAGGCTAACATGAAAAGGTGCTACAAATACTTTGTCAAAATGTAACATGGTATCCAAAATGCTGTGTGTATAAGGCCTTCCAGATTTCTGATTTTCTATAGTCTAAAACTGGAAGACTTTATTATTAGAATATTAATGAATTTAGGCTACCATTTTTAGTAGAATTAGGAAGTTAAATATTTATCTGTAGTGACTACATATTTCTATCTTTGTGCTTGTTAAGTAAGCTAATGTTTCATTTCATAAAACTTTTTCAGATATTATGGAAGAGGGAAGCAGTATTGCAGTATTGGTGCCAAATATTGGGGAACAGGAAGCTGTACTGATTTCTGAAACAGTCATTGGCTCAACACTGGAAAGCAGTGAAGATCATAGAAAATGTAAAACTGATCCTCTAATCCATGTTATCGAAAAATTAAGCAAGATAGTAGAAAGTGAGAAGTCACAGAGATGCCTTTTAATAGGGAAAAAACGTTCCCATCCTAATGCTTCTACGCCATCTTTTGAAACACAAGAAATTTCTGAGATCCCAGCTAAAACAATGGAGCTGCCTGTTATTGGCATTAAAAAGACTGATGAGCTACAAGCAGATTATGTAACCAATTGTCTTCCACAAAGTAAAAGAAAGGTTATATGCTACCAATGTAGCCTATGTAAATTTCTATCGCCATCTCTTTCTATACTACAAGAACATATAAAACAACATGGTCAACAGAATGAAGTGATATTAATGTGCTCAGAATGCCACTTTGCTTCTAAAAATCAAGAAGAACTTGAAGTTCATGTCAGAATTCACCATGAGAATGATGGCAAAAACCAGTCAAAAGTGCAACAGTGTGTAAATCTCTCAACTTCATCTTTGCAAGGGCCGGTGGAAGGAAGTGTCAAAGCAGGCACTGATCAGGCAGTACATCTGGACTGTAAAGGCATAACTCGGTCTACTCCTATAGCTGAAATGGGTAGGAGAAAATGGTATACTTATGAGCAGTATGGCATGTATCGGTGCTTAATTTGTAGCTACACTTGTGGTCAGCAAAGAATGTTGAAAACCCATGCATGGAAACATGCAGGTGAGGTTGATTGTTCCTATCCTATATTTGAAGAAGAAAATGAGCCTGCTAGCTTGTCAGATGCAACTGTAACTCATACGCCTCATAGTGTGGATACAATTGTTCTCTCTCTAGAAAATAATGAACCAGACATCCATAGTGACCATTCTCTTCAACTCCAGATTTGTAGTTCTGAGCAACTGTTATGTAAATCTCCACCAGTGGTAGAAAATGTAAAAGAGGAGGAGGTTCTAAGTCAATCAACAGCCCTTTCCCCTACTGGAGAACTGTTAGAGGAAACCATATCGGATACAGATACAGAGCAAGATAATTTGATAACTGATAGCCTACTTTCATCAGCACAGAAAATCATTAACTGTAGCCCAAATAAGAAAGGTCATGTTAATGTAATAGTAGAGCGCTTGCCAAGTGCTGAAGAAACTGTTTTACAGAAACCTTTTCTAATGAACACTGACATTGAAGCTGAGAAAAAATTAATCTCAGAGGAATCCCAGGTTGTGTGTGAAGGATCTGGTGAAGTTTATCACTCAGATGAAATTGAAGAAGTAATAATCGGATGGAGCAATACTGAGAAGAAAGATAATGATTTAATCTCTAATAAAGGCATAGCAGCTGATGAAAATGCCCCTCCTGTGCGAAGAAGAACAAATTCGGAGTCTCTGAGACTGCACTCGTTAGCTGCAGAAGCTCTTGTTACAATGCCTATCAGAGCTGCAGAACTAACAAGATCCAGCTTTAGGGCCTTCACTGCGGTAAACTCTTTAGATGCAGATACAGGACAAAGGCAGACGGATGGCACTTGTGCAGCCCATTCTAAAATGGTATCATCACTTAAAAACCCTCCAGAGGGGTTAACTAGTTTAAACCAAAGTGACTGTGCAATAATGGAGCTACAGAAGGACAAACCAGAGCTATCAGAAGCACCAATTAAAATGGGCATTAGTATGTCACTGCTCACAGTAATTGAAAAATTGAGAGAGAGGACAGATCAGAATGCTTCTGATGATGACATTTTGAAAGAATTACAGGACAACGCACAATGCCAACCTGTGAATGACATGAACATGCCAGGAAGTAACCTGGTAGAGTACATACCCAATGTAGATCGACCATACCGCTGTCGCCTATGCCATTATAGCAGTGGCAATAAGGGCTACATAAAACAACACTTGAGAGTCCATCGTCAAAGGCAACCATATCAGTGTCCTATCTGTGAGCACATAGCTGACAATAGTAAAGATTTAGAAAGCCACATGATCAACCACTGCAAAACCAGAATGTATCAATGCAAGCAATGTGAAGAATCCTTTCATTATAAGGTGAAGTTATTTCCTTTGCATCTTTCTAGAATTAGTTTGCTACTAATTAACTGTTTTATTATTTTCTTTTAACTAAACTAAGTTAGCCACAGGAATTATCAAAGTATGGCACCTTGGCTCAAATGTCATTACAAATGGAGACTATTAGAATTACTCTTGTACTACTGTGTTCTTGCAACATGTCTTGCAACCTCAAGTTATTTACTTTTATGCGTCCTCTGTTTCTTTGTGAAAAATATTACATTTTCACTGAGAGTCATCATAGTGACCAATTAATGCACTACTTCTGGCCTGTTAACCTGTAGCAATAACAGGAGGGAATGGAAGCATTAGGAGGGGATAGTCTAGATCGGGGTGGCCAACCTGAGCCTGAGAAGGAGCCAGAATTTACCAATGTACATTGCCAAAGAGCCACAGTAATACGCCAGCAGCCCCCACCCCGCTCTCAGCGCCTCCCACCCACCAGCAGCCCTGCCGATCTGCACCTCCCCCTCCCTCCCCGCACCTCCTGATCAGCTGTTTCGCGGCATGCAGGAGGCTCTGAGGGGAAGGGGCGAGGAGCAAGGGCACTGCAGGCTGAGGGGAGGGGTGGGAAGGGGTAGAATGGGGGCAGGGCCCATGTTAGAGCCAGGGGTTGAGCAGTGAGCACCTCCCAGCACATTGGAAAGTTGGTGCCTGTAGCTCCAGCCCCGGAGTCGGTGCCTATACAAGGAGCCGCATATTAACTTCTGAAGAGCCGCATGTGGCTCCAGAGCCACAGGTTGGCCACCCCTGGTCTAGATAACCTAATAGATCAGACCTTCAAAGGGGACTCAAACATGACCCCTCATTGGGAGTGGGTGCAAAACCAGAGAGTGTTCTTCTAAAACAGGGTTTCTCAAACTTCATTGCACCACAACCCCGTTCTGACAACAACAATTACTACATGACCCCAGGAGTGGAGACTGAACTCACCTGAGCCCTGCTGCCCCAGGCGGGGGAGAGGGAAGATGGGGGAGAGCCAAACCCAAGGGCTTCACCCTCACTCAGGGGGGAACCTGAGCCCTGCCGCCCAGGACTGAAGCTGTTGGGCTTCGGCCCTGGGTGGTGGGGCTCAGGCTTTGGCCCCAGGCCCCAGCAAGTCTAAGCCAGCCCTGGCGACCCCATTAAAATAGGGTCGCCACCCACTTTTGGGTCCCGACCCACAGTTTGAGAACCGCTGTTCTAGAAACTTTAGCCCAGAAAAATCAGCTGAGAGACGAAAATTTCTTTTTCTCTTTCTATAGTTTCTCATCGCTGCCTCATGGAACAGATGTTATGCAGAGGACCAAATCTGAAAAATTACACTCCAGAGCTGAATACTGTGACACGGTCACAGTTTTAGCCTCTCTATTTAGCACATTAGTGTTGCAGGATGATGCATTTATATGTGAATTTAGTGCTTATGAAAAGATATCAGTAGCACTGGAACTGTAGTCTTTCAGTCATTCACACAATTGGGACCAGCACAGGCAATTGCAGTGCAAACTTGCCCACTTGTCCTGTTCAATTCTAATTTGGGAGGACAACAGTTAGATTAAAGTATGTCACCTCCATAGCTGAGAATTTTTGTCATGGCCAGTAGAAACTGGAATGACATCTTTCATCTAAGCAACTGGATAATCACCAGAAAACATAGGCACTACTGACCTGGTCCATATTTGAACCTGTGAATTAGAACTGATTGCTTCTCTATCCTATTACCAGTAACCTGAGCTACCCAGTCCTCTTTTCTCCTATTTCCCTCCTATCCCCATCCCCCTCACTTCATCGAGAAGAAATTCTTCCTATTAGAATTTTATTATTCTTTGAGAGTTTCAGTATATTACTATATTATATCTGAATGTGAAGAAAAGTTTAATCTTAAAATTATTTTACATTTAGAAGACCAGGAAGTTACTTCAACAGGTCACTTTTTTCTAATGATCGATTTTGCTTTTTAAAAAAAACTTGTTGCTATTTAATATCTTTGTCAAATATCTAATGTCTACTCTTTAAAACAGTCAAAAGCATTTCATTCATTCAATTGTCATCTTAGTACCATATTTTGCATTTTATATGTAGTACAGTTAGTCAATTAACTGAGGCATTCTGCAAATACATATGAGCTAATGTATAAATGTAAACAATAGCTTTGCAAGTTAGTGCAACATGAAGTGACCACTGTGTATTTACAGAGTCTATACTCAAATATTGTAGGGAAAGGTGATTTTGGTTTTTTTGTTTTTAACAGAGCCAGCTGCGAAATCATGAGAGAGAGCAACATAGTCTTCCAGATCTGCTCTCAACAGCAACATCTAACAAACTAATAGTTTCCAGTGAGGCAGATGAAAGAGAAGGTACTGTATATATTTTTACATAAGATACCAGTAAAGAGTAAAATTTATAGTGTTGCTACTGGTGTGTTGTATTATGAGCTTATGTTTCTCAAAACTTCCATTTAGGCAGAAAATTGTTATGCTTACTCTCAGCCTAAATGTGTGTGGGGTTTTCAGAAGGCATGGTTTTGACATACCCTTTCAGCATTTGACAAGCAGTGTCTTTAACCAGTGGAGATATTTCTATGTATGTGCACTGAGATAACTCAGATCACTTCTTTTTTAAAATATCAATTGCCGTGGACAGTCCTTTATGAACTAATGTCCTTTGGGTTTTAAGAAATATTTTTAGAAAAATACATAGTGGATGTAGAAAAGTTTTTTTTTTTTAATTGACTTTCAAATAACTTAGAGTTGTGGAACATCAAATAAGCATACTCACATGGACACGCTCTTGAATGTCATACTTCAAAATTATTTTATTGTATTTTTATTTGCAAGCATTAATCATAATATCACTTAAGCACAGTAGGTAAAAATATTTCCCAGCTTACATGAGGGGGAATAAATAAATAAAGCATTCTGTTTCCTCTACCACTCTTTGTTGGTCTTTTTTATCTAGTTTGTAAGTTCTTTGGAGCAGGAACCGTCTCCTGCAATGTGTGTAGCACTTAGCACAATGGGACCCAGATCTCAGTTCGGGCCTCTAGGTGTGTTGTAATATGTATAACAACAAAGTGGCTAAGGGCCCAGTTCTGTCACCCTTACTCATGTTTTGTAAGGACAAAAGTAATCCCATTGAAATCAGTGGGACACTCATGGAGTAAGGAAGGTACTGATTAATGTGAGCAAGTATGGGCTGTTAGTAATTTGCCCAGAGCCATGTGGTAAGTGTCAGAATAGAGTTAGAACTATAGTTCCTGGCACCCAGTCCCATAATTATGCTACTAGACCATGCTGGCTCTTATTAAATGGTTCTGACATTAAATATACAAGTCAGAAAAATCAGTTATTTACCTCACCAGCACTAAATAAAATTACCCGTTAGCTACTTTTTTGTCCTCCTGGAAGCCAGCCGGGATTTAGATATATATAATAATTCCAGGAGATTGAGCTTTAGTGTTTTGTTACTTTCTTCAGGCCCAAGTTCAAGAAAATGCTAGATGAATTTTGTAGGGGTTTTGTTTTGGTTGGTTGGTTTTTTGATGCGGCATGGGCATGCAGGAAGAGCTCCTTAGTAGAAGAAAAAGCACTCTTCAAGCACACCCAGCGTTTTTCAAAAGAAATAACATGAGCATTTTTGTAGAAGTGATGGAACATAAGTGTTGCTGGTTTTGCTTTTGTTATAGATGTTTGCACAGCTGTGATTATCACCATTGTCAATGCTTGCAATTGTTTAATCCAAGATTTTTAGAAGTGACTAAAGATTTTGGGTGCCTCAGTTTTTGGGTACCCAACTTGAAACACGTGAAAGGGGCCTGATTTTCAGAAGGTGCTGAGCAGCTCTTCTAGAAAATCTGGCCCCATTTAAGGTGTTTCTGTTGAAGATCCAAAAATTGAGAGAACCAAAACTGCTAGTCATCTGTGAAAATCTTGCTCTTTAAAAAAAAAAAAAAAATTTTTTTTTGCAATTCTTGCAAATTAAGGACTTGATCTTGTAATTCCTCTGCTAGGGGAAACTCCTATTCAGGAAGCTGGGCCTGACTTAAATTTACTCTAAATGTTTTAATAATTTTTACTCATTTTTACCTTATGTAAAATGTTTTAGTCATTCATTTTAGATGGATTTTTACCCCAAATTAAAGTTGGTAATATGATTTAAGTGAAAACGTTTTTCCTTTTAAACTTTCATTAAATTATATTTTGGAAATCTTAAATTATTTCAAAAACAATTTGCAATCAAATTATGGCAGTACAGATGCCATCATGTCAAACAGATGTCATCCCTATAAAGCTACCCAAAATAAAGACATTTATGGCATAGCATCTGTTTATATGAGAGATTCTGAATTGGAACAGTTTAATTTTTTGTTTATGAAATAGTCAGTCCTAAACGTCTCTTTATTCATCATGTTATACAGTAAACTTAAAGGAAGCATTATAACACTGGATATGATTGGATTGTAAATGCCTAATAATGGACTATAGTAATAAGCTGCATTATAGGAGCACCTGTTCTTGCCGCTAGAATAAGGATTTGTCATTTCCCACATACACAGTGCACAAATCCCTTCCAAAAACACCCACAAAATCATGGGGGGAGGAAAATAATTCCAAACTTGCAATTTAACTACAGCCCGGAACATATGATGGATCATAACTTAACTGCATTTTGTTAAAGAATAAATTTAAACTAGTGACTAGTATGAGTAATTGCTCCCAAGTGTGAGCTGACTGGTGGTTAGCCACTTCTAACTATGCAATAAATTATTTGTTTGCAGTATCCTTTTATCTTGTTAGCTACTGTTTCTTTACAGCCATCTAACTAATAAATACCTAATTACTTACTAGAAAATATTTCAGAGCCAAATTAATTCCCACTAGTGGAACCTAGCCTGCTGACACTTTATGGTAGAAAGTTCACTGAAGCGGGAGTGCAATAGCAGAAGCCATTCACAGTTTCTGCTCTGCTGGGTGGTCTGGACCTTATTGGTGTCTCGTGCTAGACTGAAATCGTGTTAATCTCCAGATTACAAAGATATGTATCCACCTGTATGAATGAGTGTGACAAAAGTGGTTAATACAAACTTAGTAAGGCTGCCATGCTAACTTCATGGAAGGTTGTTTTTTTTTGTACAGTAATAAAATGAATGCATTGTGGGAAAAGTTCTGATGTACCTTGCTTTCATGAATTTAAGGCTGAATCAAAGAATGTAGGCCCAGTATCATTCCATGTCACTTTATCTTGTAGAGATCTCAGAACATTGAGCAATTTTCTACCATGTGTTTCAGTTCATGGGTGGAGCAGAGTTAAGCATGTAGGGGTCACTTTTTGTTAAGTGTGCATATATACAGTTTTCTAATTTTTATGTCCATTAAGTGTATGTATTGCTGGCAGAATAAATCCTTGGTAGTATCAGCCTAGAGGTCCAGTTGCTGCCACTTGATTTTGCATGTTTAAACTCTACTATTAGTCACTTTTGGAGTGGTTTTCACTTGGAGGATAAATCAGCTGTCTGCAAACCTCAAATTAATGTAAAGTATTTTAAAAAAATACTTTCACATCACTTATTTGTCCAACTATGAAACAAACTGAAATGAAATGTAGAGGAAGTGGGTTTGCATGTCTAATTAAAATAGGCTGTTCACTCAATAAATGTTTGCTCTAAAGAATCAAGAAGAACAAGTTTGTATATTTGCATATTATGACATTAAATTTGAACTAAGACTTTCTTTAATTACATTTGGAAAATCATTGGTTTGCTACTTTATCTCTTTAAAAAAGTTGCTTCCAGGTTAGCATTCATTTCGGATCCCCTTTTTTAAATTGTTAGCTGAAGTTATATATGTCTGTTTATCTATCTATCACCTTCTATCTGAGATCTGGAATACTATTAACGTAGAACCCTCAGCAGACATTTAAACCCCTGTTTCGTCAATTCCTACTATCTGGAATAGAGCTAGTTGTAACAGTATCAGAGCTTTCAGCTTACAAATTAAAAGAATGTCTAACAATTCTTAACAGTATTAGTAACCTCAGCACTTTTTATGTGGTCTGTCAAATTTCAGTTTGGGGAGTGATTATAATCAAATGCTGATTGGCACCTGGATCTTGGGAGACTTTAAATCTTAAAGTTTAATTCAGACTTACTTTATTCTTCTCTGATATTTTTTGTTATTGTTTGTCCTTTATCAGTTTTATCTTTCTGATTCCTGACCTGTCCTTTAGGTCAAGGCATTTGGGCTGGGCTGTAGTTCTGGCAAATTACAGAAGCAGTTCAGTCTTGTCCACATGCTTTCTCTTTTATACAAGGTCTGGAACGCTGTTAAGATAGAACACTCAGCAGACGTTTAAACCCCTATGTATGTCAGATTCTGTGACTCTGGTAGCACAAGGACTTCTGTCTTATCCACTGCAGTCCTGGCTTTTAAAGCTGATTTTTGGAGCAGCAGTGAGGACATTCCCCACTACCACCTCCATTCTCTCCTTTCCTTTGGGGGACTGAAATTTCTGGGTATTTGCTCCCTGAATTAGACCAGCTGCTGAATGTTTTCAGATTAAATGGGGTGATGTTCCTTTTGCAAGGAAAAGAGATGCTCTAGGAATTATTTGGGGGAAGTTGTATGGTCCTGTGTTATATAGGAGGTCAGACTACCTGATCACAATGATCCCCTGTGGCCTTAGAATCTATAAATCTCACTCTGTCAGGAGCCACAGAAAGGGATGCTTCCATGAATGCTCCTATCCCTTAACCCTTCCAGGGAAGGGGGTCTCAGTCTGAGCTGTTTGTTTGTGCTCCTGCATCCACCCTCCCTCCTACTCCCATACCAGAGGACACTCTGCTGGAGTCACTTCCACAAAAACTGGTTCAACCTGTTCAGCTCTTGGGACTCAGCAAATTGGACTATCCTCACCACTCAAGAAATTATCAAGATAAACCCCAAATTCTCCCTGACTCCCCTTCTTCTGCTACTCTTCACGCCCATTTCCCCTACTTCAGCTACTGGGAGTAATTCAAGAGATGATAAAGGAAGAAACATTGATCAGGGGTTTTTTTTTTTCTTTTTTTTTTTCAAACCAAATTGGCAAGAAGGCCATTGTACATGGACCTAAGTAGAGACGTTGCTAAAATCACTCCATCTTTCCAGGAAGGAACTCCTATCCCAGGACTAATCCCTATATCACATTTCAGAATACCTGAGCCTGATGGCCTGGCTATTGACTGGCAAATCTTAAACAAGACAGGATACTCCTAGTCTCACCACAAGCCTTTTATGCTCTTAGCATTCACAAGGACAAAATTCTCCTGTTAAAATAGAAGGATCGAATGTAGGAAACCAGACCTTACAGTTTTTCTGGATTTCTTCCCTAAGTCTAAGACTTCCCATCATTGTTTAAAGTTGAAACACAAGATGCAATGTCAAACACAGGCTCATGTAGTGTCTTGTAGGTTGCCTGGTGGGGTCAAGGTTCCTTATGGCAACGTGTATCCAAACCAATGGGTAAACCTTTCTTCCCTATCTGGACTCTGCTAACAATTCTACAAGTCGTCATGACCCATCCATTCAACCTGATGGTATCTAACTCCCCTTTGTGTGTGGTGTGGTGAGGAGGAAGGCAGAGACCTGCTTCCTGATCACAATCATGTCAGCAAGAAGAGTTTTTGAAATCTCTGTTCTTACAAAATTTGAAACTTATTGTGTCTTCAGCAAAGGACAAAGTTGTCCTTGAATCCCAGAATCATTCATTTCCAGGTCAAGTTTCCTTCATACTTCATAGGAAATCATCCTTTCTTGATTTGCCCAGTTCTCAACACCCAAGTATGGCATGTAGTAGATATGAGAAGTACTGTTAAAATATATCTTAGTAAAAATGACCATTTCAGGAAAATGTCTAGATTCTTATTCAACTGCAAAAAAACCAGTCCAGAAGGGATGAGAGACCGCTCAACACAGGTTCTTAGGCAGAAAGAGCATCGTCCACTACAGTGGAAATCTGTATGGCTGCCACATGATCTGCCACATCAGCATATGTTGATAAAGGTCTAGAAGGTTGACCTTTGCTCCTCTGTGGAAGCATCCTTCAGCAGGAAGGTACTCCAAGTCATGGTCTCAGAATCGGTTATTATTTTTAGGGACAGGGGAAATTCTCCCTTCTATCGTAGCTATTTCTCCCTCCTACTAACTTTTCCTTTCTGCTTGCCACATCACAAGTCTCAGACAGAGGAAACGTCAGGATCCAGAATGGAAAACTTGTTACCTGATGACTTTGGTTCAGGGATTCCTCTCTGTCCCACTTGAAGAAAAGTTTTCCAGTAATCTACACCCTGGTCGTTTCAAGTCCCATGTATGTATCTAACACAGTTAGGTATTACTAAATGTAATCTACTAATAAGAACTTGGTATGAGGATAGAAGGGTTGTAACCAAGCTCCAGAACCTTGTTGATGAATCTGAACTATCTTCCAGTATTTGCAAGAAGAAAAGCACAGCTTAAATGTCTTACATTGGCTGAGAGGTCAGTCCCAGAAAGGAAATACTTAGGTATTTCAGACTGAAAAAAGTTAATATTTTCCTCTGTTTACACTCATTTTTTAGTTCTTACAAAAATCTAGATTATCTCTTTAATGGTTTATATCATACCCTAAATCTGAATATCCCAAACTCTTTTAAGATGATGATGGAGTATTAGTAGGAGATAAAATGGCTCTCCTAGCCAGATCTTTTTCAGGAAGCTTTTGATTGTTGTTAATTGTTTCTTTTTTCTTAGTGCCTACCTTTTTTTTTTTTTTTGACTTGATTCTGCAGTGCAGTGAAAATGCTGAGCCCAGGAGTTTCTATAGCATCACTTCATAATATTACAAACCTGAGATTATGATCTGACTGCAGGAACCAGGAAAGGGTAGAGGCTGGATTGTGAGGGAGCATGTACTTCCTAAAATATGAATAGCTCTAATAAATAGCAGGGAGCATGCAGAAGAGCACTGGTAAACTACATTTACATTTATTATGTATAGATGTCCATTTCTAGTTTGCTTCAGTGTTGAAATATCACTTCAAAATGTTGATAATGCATGTTTCATAATTCTATTCAGTGCTAAAACTATCATCCTAGAACTTCCTATAGGAGAAAAAACATATTTCTAAAACAATTAAATCTATTGTGTACAGGGAATAAGCCTTCAGTCCAGAAACTCTATAGATGTGATGTGTGTGACTACACAAGCACAACATATGTTGGGGTACGAAATCACAGACGGATTCATAACTCTGATAAGCCATACAGGTGAGTATCTTAATTGTTGTTCACTAGCGCTGGGCTTTTGAACTGTTTATCTTAAAAGTTTAAATTGCTCGTGGTTATTTTAATGACAGTTTGTTTTTAAGGGTATCATTGTAGAAAGCATTTAATATCAGTTTCAGAGTTTTACTAAAAGGCAAATTAAACTAATCCATTCAAAAATGGAGGAGCTGCTGGCTCATTCAAACTATATACACTTCTACCCCAATATAATGCGACCCGATATAACACGAATTCGGATATAACGCAGTAAAGCAGTGCTCCGGGGGGGCGGGGCTGCGCACTCTGGTGGATCAAAGCAAGTTCGATATAATGCGGTTTCACCTATAACGCGGTAAGATTTTTTGACTCCGGTGGACAGCTTTATATCGGGGTAGAGGTGTAGTTAGGATCCAATAAGCTTGATGGTGCTACAGTATGTCTCTTCAGTTGTACATATCAGCTGTATTTTCTGAATTTGAAACAATGAAATGTGACACTTTGGAGGGGGAAATAATGAAAATGTTACGATATTTTACATTAAATAGTTCATTAAAGTCTTCAATTGAAGTGTGGCTGATTTCTGGATTTCCTGTACAGTTGAGTTCATTTTGGATTCATTCCACTGCAGAGGGTTACGCCCAGTCATATTTAAAACGTCAATAGCTTTGTTTTAAACTGGTAAGACACAAATAACAAGGTTCAAATATCTCAGTGGAGTGGGGAGAGGGCAACCATGATTAAGGCTACATTTTAGTCATGGCTATTTTTAGTAAAAGTCACAGACCAGGGTTGGCGGGGCCGGCAGGCTCCCTACCTGGTTCCACACTTCCCCCCCTGCAGCAGCAGAGTTTGGGTGTGGGAGGGAGCAGAGGGTTTGGGCACAGGACGGGGTGAGGCGGGCTCTGGGCGGCGCTTACCTGGGGGGCTCCCCAGAAGCATTGACACCCCCCTCGCTCAGGTGCTAGGTGGAGGCGTGGCCACCTCCGCCGGGAACCACCATCCCCGCAGCTCCCATTGGCCGCGGTTCCCGGCCAATGGGAGCTGTGAAGCCAGCACTCTGGGCGGAGGCAGCGTGCAGAGCTGCCTGGCCATGCCTCTGCCTAGCAGCTGAGCGAGGGGGTGTCACCACTTCTGGGAAGCCCCCCAGTTAAGCGCCGCCCAAAGCCCGCCTCACCCTGGCCTGTGCCCCAACCCTCTGCCCCCTGCCCACACCCAAACTCTGCTGCTGCTGGCGGGGGTGGGGGTGGCCCGAGACTGCCCCAGCAGTGGCCGGTGCATCTGGCGCAGGGACAGCCTGAGCTGCTGCCTGAGCTGCCCCTGAACCAGAAGCACCGGCCGCTGCAGAAGTCACAGAAAGTAACGGAATCTGTGACTTCCATGACAAGGCCACAGCCTTAACCATGATGTATTGGGCACTGCATGATATTGCAAAATTCTGCCCTGTACTTTGCCCCTACACCACTCCGTTTTCCCATAGGTTTTCAATAGGTTCATTGTTACCAATCTTAGATAAGAGACATTTTAATAATTTCCTCATAGGTCTATGTAGAAGCTTCAATAATTTGTGTTAGTGGTCTGTACTACTCTTGCTTTTTTTTTTTTTTTTAAAATTGTTCCTTTTCTATTGCAATTTTTTCATAGATTCAAACAAATGTAATTCATACTCACTCAGTGTGGCACTTTATCCCTCTCTAGTGGCTGGAAAGCAGAAGTTAGAGTTGGTACAGGCTTTGACCCAGTACAACTTGGCCTTTAGGTCATGTAGTAGAAGCTCTGGGTTTTAGATATCGAGGTCTCAGGTTCAATCCCACTGTCTATGACTCAGCCAGCTGCGTTGTGTTATACAGAAATAAACCATAATTTGTTTGTGACAGTGCTTCAGTATTGGTATTCTAGAATGTTTTTCCAAAAGTATACTTATAAGCAGCTGAAAGATGTTTTGTCACAAAGCCAAATGTGGGATGTCATAGTGTCTTCACAGAGATCTGGTAGAACTTGGAGATTTGTTTTAGAATCAAAGACTTATAAGAAGAGCCTTTTTATTGTGGTGGTGGTGGTCGGGGTGTCGCTTCCTTAGATTCCCAAGACTTCTTCATTCAAACTTGACAGTACTGAGGAAAACCAGTGTTCCAGCAGGAAAGAAAGGAACAAAACAGAAAATATCAGCTACAATCAGTGATGGCTGGTTCTTGAAAGATACCAGAAATCCTCCTTTCCTGTCCCCACTCCAGCTTCCTACCCTCCCCATGCAAGTTGGCCAGACTGTCAATGTGAAAAAACTAGGACATGCTACAGCGTATGACCTGGATGATTTTGGAGAAAAGGTAGGGAAGTGCCCAGTGAAGTGGGTAGAAAAGTGGCCTCTCATTGCTCTCACCAACCTCCATCTTACAGAATGAAAAACTGAAATCCTTTACAATAAAAGATTGTGTAAGAGAGAAAAATATTTCTTCCTTTAAGACCTTGTATAGATTACAACTTACTTCAGTATACTTTACGTCACTCAGGGATGTGAATGATCCACACCCCTGTGCGACATAAGTTTTATACCGACCAAAGAGCTGGTACAGACAGCGCTATGTCAGCGGGAGAGCTTCCCCTGCCGACATAGCTAATTTTTCTCATGGGGGGGGAGTAATTAAGCCAATGGGAGAGCTCTCTCCCATCAGTTTACAGCGTCTCCACTACAAATGCTACAGTAGCGCAGCTCCAACAGTGCAGCTGCGCCAGTGTAAATGCTGTAGTGTACATGTAGCCTAAGACTTAACTATGTTATACCAGTCCTAGCCTCTTCGCCCTCCAGTCTAGCTCTTATCCTTCTGTCTCCACAGTCACTATCTATAAATAAATAAAACACACACATACGCACAAACTCTCATGTCAAACTACTCCAGAATAACTTCCCCACCTTTCTGCTAACATCCCCAACCAGGATCAGGAACACTTCCTGTCCATCTTTTAGCTCAATCTTTACACTTCCTAACAATCTCTGTGCACCTAAGAGTCATCCTCCCTCTCATTTGAGGATACTCTCCCCAGACTTAGAAACCCCCTCCTTCCTCCATCAGACCCAGAAAAACACTTCCTAAGACCACTAAATCTCCTCCCCACTCTTCCTTACCACCCCCACAGTGTTCCCCAGCTCAACCTCCCACCCCTTCCTGCCTCAGAGTCTTCCTTCCCCCCATTGTTGCTTGGCCTGAAGGAGGAAGAGCAGAGGCTGCAGAGAGCCCCATATCCCACGTCTGTCTGAATTAATCCCATAGAGGCCTGTATTATTGCTCGTTCTGCTGCCTGAAACCCATAGTTAGGACACTTTGTAGCAGGTTTTACGGCAATCTGTAATATGCACCCATATTATAGCTACTAGTGTTTTATCATTTGGACACTATTAGTGGAGTTTAGCTCCACCAGCTTCTGATAATCAGCCACACGTGACTAACATTATTCATATTTCATTTGATAACCTTTGAATTTTACTTTGACACCTCAATATGAAGCTTTCAGATAACACAGAGATTGGACTAATCTCAATCAGATAGACCAGGGGTTCTCAAACCTTTCCACAGCATGGATCACACCATGGTAGATAATGGACACCTACGCAGCCATTCACAATCCCATAATGTGTTATGAAGTTTGCTCTGTAGAAATCTTGAAGATCAGAAACTGAAAACCTTAAAAGCTGAAATCTTGTTTGCTCATGTTAAAAATTCCATGGCACTTTTCACTTGTCCACGTGTTTTTGTCCAAAATCTTCCCTCCATTATTCTGCCATGTGTTTTGTACTGCTGCCAACTCAAGAGTTGGCTGCACTTTGATGTACGTGTACTCTTGTACTTAGAGATGAAGGGTGCAACAGAAATCTGTGTGTGTGTTCCAAAATAACTTTTATGGATAACTGTCACCCTGATTAGGAAACAATAGAGGATTAAAATTCACAACAATAAAATTGAAGAGAACAGGGAATTTCTTGTTACTTGACACTGGTGACATGGGCAGGGTGAATTGATTTAAATCACCAAATGGAAAGCCTCAATTTAAATCATTGATCTTAATAACTTTTCCATTTGTACTTCATTTATTTTCTAAAAAAGGTGCATGTTTATTGGTTGATATAACCATTAAAACATGTAGATTTACAACTAAATAGCGCCTTTACAGTAGATTTGGTACATCTTTTAGCTACCAAGGAGAGTACACTATAACTATATTCATTTATTTAAGCAATTATATAGCTTAATATTTTCAGATTCTTATTTATTGTACATTGTTAGTATGTTAGAAATAGGTGAATGAAATTCTTATTTACTAGACAATTAACTTTTTGCTCATAATTAGTGTCAAGCTGCATTAGGCTGGTAATTAGAATTTAAACACACAAAACAGCATAAACTTTATTTTTATTAACAATCAAATATTTTGGATACATAAATTTCTTATCAAAATGTGTTTCACATTTACAATTAAATGATTTACTAAAGGAACAGAGGGATTAACTGTAGTCATTGAATTAAACAGATTATTTCATGTCAGCCTGGGAAAAATTTCACTTATGCCTACATTGAAAGTGACTTGAGCTTAAGTTTCTGTTCGCCTAAGTCTCTTGAAAATGAGACAACAGCCTCCTAAGTTACTTAGGCTGTTTTTCACACTGTTAAAACTAGTAGATCTCATCCTCTCCCTCCTTGTTTTTTTCATTGACTTGAAGAGAAGGACAAGTTTTCCCTCTTTTTCAACTCCCAGTCCATTTTGCAGCTTTGAAATAATTAGTCCAAATGAAGAAAATATTTGTTGCCTGCAGAAGAAGATACTGCAGTGAAAAGCTGGTTTAGTACTTCACCAAACTCTGATTCCAGATGCTTAAAGTAGTGACTCCCAGCAGTTCAGTGGTGTGACTATCTTTAAATCATCATCAACAAACATGTACTGTATGAATGGTTCACCTCTGTCTTTGACATTTATTTTGTTTGGCATAATTGATGGGTGATTATGAGATACCT